TACTGAACACTTAACGGTTTACATGTGAGCACGGAACGTTAGGGTGTGTCCTTGAGTGTGTGTGTGTGTGCGTGCTTATCTACGTGTGTGTGTAGGGCCAATCAGGTTCACGGTCATAGTGAGCGATCATTGGTTGAACACGTAACAGTCCTCCCTGTTTTGGCTGACGTTACAGTCATGGCTGAAAACGTTCGATCGGTTTGCGAATCCGGGTCGATCGGCGTAATTGAGTTTCCCCTGTTGTTCTGTGTTCGTCGTGCTCTGCAGCTTGCTCTGCGATCTCCGAGTGTGACTGACTCACCGCAGATGTGTCAGTGCTCCTGGGGCGTACATGATCTGAGTGCCGGCGAACAACCCGGCCGTCCGGGAGCTGCAAAGCGTTTTGACTTCCTGAAGAATCGAGCACAGTCGCCGGCTGCCAACATTGTTCATGCGTTAACCTGGTGTAAACAGGTTGATGGTCCTGAAATGTAACTTCCGGCTTTGATTCCTCTGAAGACACAAACTTTTTCTGACGCTCCTGTACTTCAACACGCGGGTTCGGGAACAACAAATGAAGCCTCGTTCTCAGATTTCTGCCGAACATCAATTCCGCCGGGGATTTCCCGGTAGCCTCAGTGGGTGTAGAACGGTAGGAGAATAGGAACCGATCCAGTTTTGTTCGCAATGTTCCCGTTCGCTGCTTTAGTAAGCCTTGTTTCACAGTTTGTACTGCACGCTCCGCTAATCCGTTTGATGCTGGGTGATACGGGGCTGATTTAACGTATTGGATTCCGTTGTTAGCGACAAATTTACCAAATTCGGCACTGGTAAAAGGCGAAGCATTGTCTGTACAAATGGTTTCCGGAATGCCAAACGTAGCGAAGGACAAGCGCATTTTAGTGATGGTGGATTCGGCTGTCGCCTGAGTAACTGGATGTACGTCAATCCACTTATAATGTGCATCAATAAGTAGAAGAAACATGGTCCCGTCGATCGGTCCGAAGTAGTCGGCGTGGATACGCTGCCAGAGCTTGTCGGGCCAACGCCAAGGGTGTATTGGACCTGGCGCCTTGCTCCGCTGATACGCCTGACAAATATCGCAATTCTTCAGTAAGTTCTCTATGTCTGAGTCGATGTTGGGCCACCAGCAGTACCCTCTCGCTAGTGCCTTCATCCTCGCCACACCTGGATGAGCATCATGGAGCTCTTTAAGTATCTGTGAACGCGCCTTGGTGGGAGGGACTAGACGAGAGCCCCAGAAAACACAGCCGTCGAATAGACTCAGTTCGTTCTTCCGAATCATAAACGGTTGTAATTCAACTGTCCCTTCAGGAGGCCAACCCATGTTCAAAAAGCGTTTCACCATTGATAGCACGGGGTCTCGATCCGTCCATTGACGGATTGTTGAACTCCGTATCGGTGTTGTGTCTAGATGTTGCGTTAGATTAACCAGTTCAAACGGAGGGTCGTGTTCATGTGCAGTTTCCGTGATCGGCAGACGGCTGAGTGCATCAGCTGTGCAGTTGCTGACGCCGGTAATATAAACAATCTTGTAACTGTAAGCACTCAAGATTATAGCCCATCTCTGCATCCTCGGTGATGCCATTTGTTGTATACCTTTGGTTTCCCCAAACAAGGATATCAATGGTTTGTGGTCTGTATGAAGCTCGAAAACGTTTCCCCATAAATACTGGTGAAATGTCTTAACTCCGAAGATAACGGCTAGCGCTTCCCTGTCCAGTTGTGAGTAGTTCTTCTCCGCCGTCTGTAAGGTGTGCGATGCATATGCTATGGGACGTAAAGAACCATCGTCCATGCGGTGGCACAGGACAGCCCAGACCCCCCAAGGGGACGCGTCGCACTGAAGTATGAGTGGCTTGTTAGAGTCATAATGGACTAACGTTGGTGGCGAAGCAAGAGCTTGTTTTGCTTTATTGAAGGCATTTTTTGACGGGAACCCCCACACCACGATGCATTTTTGTGTAACAGCTCATTTAATGGCGACAGAACCGTCGATGCATTAGGCAGGAAACGGCGATAGTGAGATAGCATTCCTAAGAACGAACGGAGTTCATCACAACTCTTTGGCTCTGGGTTTTCTAAAATAGGTTTAACCTTGCCATTTAAAACATGTAAACCGTGTTTATCAAGCCGGTATCCAAGGTAACAAACGGAAGGTGAAAGGAACTCACATTTAGACCTTTTCAATCTGAATCCACTTCGCTCCAAACGCTCGAGCACGACCGCGAGTGTTCGAAGATGCTCTGTATCCGAGCGTCCAGAGATAAGAATATCATCCAGATAAGCACACGCAAAAGGAATGTCCTTCACTAGGTCGTCAATAATTCTCTGAAATATTCCGGTGGCGGAATTAATGCCAAAAGGTAAACGAGTATATTGAAATAGTCCCATGTGCGTGGTGATGGTAGTAAGTTTCCTCGAAGGTTCATCGAGCTCTATCTGCGAGTATGCGTGACTCAGATCGAGTTTGGTAAACTTTTCACCACCAGCTAGTGTTGCATACAAGTCATCAATACGTGGCAAGGGGTACCTGACCAGCATGGATGCTTGGTTTATGGTTATCTTGTAGTCATTACAAATCCGTACGGAGCCGTCCGGTTTGGTTACTGGCACAATTGGAGTTCCCCAGTCAGAAAAGTGTACAGGAGTAATAATACCTTGAGTCTGTAGGCGGTTTAGTTCCTCTTCAACTTTAGGCCTCATAGCGTATGGTAGTGTGCGCGCCTTAATAAATTTTGCTCGAGCGCCTTCCTTTAGTTTTATCGCAGCCTGAAATTCTTTCAACTTCCCAAGCTCCTCGGAAAAAACAGCTGAATGTTGTTTAAGTAATGTTTCAAGTCCGGAGATCTCGGTGACTAATTTTACTACATTCATTGTATCCGGGAAAGCACGTATCCAGTCTCTTCCAAGCAGATTTGGACGATCCCCGGGGATCACATATACAGGAAGTGTGCGTATTTTGTCACCATACTGTGCCTTCACGAAGCATTTACCAAGGACACGTATAGGTTCACCGGTGTATGTACGAAGAACAGAATTGCAAGCGGATAAGTTCGGGAGCGTTTTTACAGCGTTTTCCCGGATTATCGTCACGGATGCTCCTTTAACGATTTCCATCTGTACCTTTTGTCCTTCAATGCAAAGCTCTAGAGTGTATGGCGCCGGCTGCATGCTAGAAACGGAATTAAGCCGAATGGAATGTAATTCAGGGTCGCTACCATCAGACTCGTCCACAGTTTTGATGGGGTTTGCTCCTCGATAAGCCCCACCTGAACGTCGCTTGACCGATCTACACACTCGCGCCATGTGGCCCACCTTCCCGCAGCTTCGACATACTGTCTTCTGATGCCGGCAGCCGGATGGACAACTGTGCTGCTCACCACAACGATAGCACACAGACAAATTGACGCCAGTGGGTGGCTTTGGTTTTGGTGTAGTGTTAATCAATCGCAGCTCATCTGACGAGTCCTTCAGCGTAAATGTTGCGAGTTGTTGTGTAAGGTGTTCCCTCTACCGGGCAATCGAGCAGGCCGTCTCCAAGGTCAGTGAACAATCATCTTGTGAAAGGAGCTTCTCCCGCGTGCTCTGGTCTGAGATTCCGGCTATCAAACATTGGAGTAACATAGTCTCTTCAAATCTCGTTGGATCGACTTCATTGTATTTACAATCAGGTGCTGCTTGTAGTACACGAGCGATGAACTCGTTCACACTCTCATCTGGTTTCTGGCAGAGTTTCGAGAAGTAGTATCTAGCCGTAAAAGCATTCTGACTAGCACCCCAAAGAGCACTGAAGGTTTCCAAAGCGCCGGTTATCATAGAAGAGATTTGATCAATACGAAGTGCATCGAAATACCTTTGACCCTCATCTCCAAGAAACTGTCTCAAGAGCTTCACTTTGTTTTTCTCAGTAAGAGATACTGCTGGATTCAAGATTGGAAGCAATTCCAAGCAATCCGTAAAGGTTTTCCGCCATCTATGCCACGAGTCCAGGGAAGGTTTGTCGGTAGAGCACGACCAGAAGACCGGTGGAGTATTTGTCATGGACATGTTGACCTCGTCGCCAGATATCACAACTGGACTCTAACCGCAAGTACGTATTTCAACTCGTAGCGAATAAGCAAGAAGACGCGTCAGTCTGGCGCACAGTGTACTGAACACTTGACGGTTTACATGTGAGCACGGAACGTTAGGGTGTGTCCTTGAGTGCGTGTGTGCGTGCTTATCTACGTGTGTGTGTGTAGGGCCAATCAGGTTCACGGTCATAGTGAGCGATCATTGGTTGAACACGTAACAACGGGATCCAAGGGTGAGCAGTTCGGAAAAAGGAATTGGAAGGAGTGACTTTTGACTCCAGTACCGTAGCGATACAGCGCTCTCTGGTTTACGCAGTTTCGGTTTTCCAGTTCTTCTCCTACCAGAGCAATACATTTTTTCACCTTACGTTTCCTCTATGTTGAGGCTAATAAAAGAGACTCGTCTCTTCTTGCGGATTTTTTGAGCGCCAAGCTGCGTGTGTACCAGTGACGACACCATACAGGTGCAAGCGGATCAGCAAAAATACCTGACGACAGTTCAAGCTATGGACAGAGTAAATACGTCACATTGGCAATGACGAAGCCTAGCCCAGTGTTATCACACTGTGAAAGGTCGCATGTAGGATATCACAAACTCATATTCCGGCTACCAGTTTTCAACACTCATCGACAGAATTGGTGTACTTTTTGAATGAAGTACCTAGCATCTGTTGTGTGCGATGAAATCACCATCCTTCGTGTTCTTCCTCGTAGTTATGCAGATAAATGATATGGATAGAATACGTTTGCACTTCAGTTTACTCATTGTCTTTTCACTTGAAGTCTGCACACGCTAATTAGCGTAGTGTGTTACTCAAAATGGTATTCGTTCAATTGTGGCTTAGTTACCGAATACTCTCCGTTTGAACATGCATGCGGGACTGGTTGAACTTTATGGTTGTACAATTTCTGTTCTCCACACAGGCTTCATAGATTTCATGGTGAGCGATCATCCCTTGGCACAGGAGCTGCGGTATCACTTAATCTTTAAAGTTGTTCCGATGCTCAACCCGGACGGAGTTTTCTTGGGCAACTACAGGTGAGCAGGTACCACTTCAAAGTGTCGCGGGGAATTCTGGGTACTCGATTCAGGCATTGTTAGTATCTAAATTAAGATACACCTTAGAAAACCGTAACTAATTTTCAGGAGAATCACATTTCGAGGTTATCTGAGCTCTAGACGGACTTCGCATGCTAAATTGTCACAATGGCCTCTATCCATTCCGCATCCTACGAAGATCAGGCTAATTCTTATGATCTACGAAGTGCTTCCAATTTATCCCAGTTCCCTATACAAGCAAATGGCTGTTAGGTAATTTGGAACACGGGTAGCCCGGGTTGGTTGCTCACCTGTTGATCGTATTTTTCGAGCTTGATAAAGGGATTGCATACGTTTCACCACCATGCGACGTGGCATCCTCAGTGCGGGGATATGCAGTGTATTATGCTGCTTATGGAATCCTCGGTCTGTCATCCACGGGCAGGTGACTTTTTGAAGGTGGCAATTTCGATTTGCGCCACGTGATCTCTGCCCGTTTGCTTCCGCGGCTGAACCATGTCTTTCGATTCGCCGGAGATCTTTCTTTCTGAGCTGATGGTACACGGGGTCGATGTCGCTGCGCATGTTGATCGAATTATTAGAGGAGTGCCATGTTTCTTGTCTCGACGCATGTGGATGCGGAGTGATATAGCTTCAGTTGGTACAAAACGGTGATTTTAGCTCAAACAACAACACAGAAAGGAAGAGAATTCCTAGAAACATGGTACTCCTCTAATAATTCGATCAACATGCGCGTCGCCATCGATCCCGTGTACCATCAGATCAGAAAGAAAGATCTCCGGCGAATCGAAAGACATGGCTCAGCCGCGGAAACGAATGGACAGATCACGTGGCACAAATCGAAATTGCCACCTTCAAAAATTCACCTGCCCGTCGATGACGGACTGACATTTCAATGAGCAGCATTATACACTGCATATCACCGCACTGACGATGCCACCTCGCATGGTGGTGGAATGTATGAAATCCCTTTATCAAGCTCGGAAAAACGATCAACAGATGGCTGTTAGGTACTTATGATTTGTAATCACCGTAGTAGATGCCTTAGTTACAACTTCATGGAGTGCCTTAATGTGGTATTCGTGAAAGCAGAACAGTAACTCAGCAAAGTAAAGGAATATATGGACACTGAGGACGCGTAACATCGGTTGTGACATTTAAGACATTCACACAAGCTATTCATCCAATGGCCGTTAACTGGGAGTGTGATTCACGACGAATCAAAAGGGAGTTGAATTTTAACTACCAATATAGTGAGTAATATGGCAACCCCACACGTATGTTGCGCAAGAGTTGACATATCCAACCATACTTAACAGTCATTTTATGTCCGTCACCGGACTGTGTAGCTTTTCACAAACGATCCGTTTACATTGTGGTGTTTGAAAGGATAATAACAAAGTCTCAGTCACTTAGAAAACATGAAATATTTCGAAAAGGGTCAACTCAATCTAATCACAGTTGAGTTCGAATCATAGATTGCACTGTACGTGTGGCACACGTCGAGCACGATGGAAATAGACATTCGATCATAATTCCTAATCTAATATCCGATTCGCAAGCAGACTGCACGACACCGAGCACACGCAGCAGCACAGCCAAAAAGCAGCACGACGGAGCGCGGGCAACCAAGAAGTCTATTGTAGTTGGTTAATTCAAACAAACTGAACAAAAGATGTCATGATGAAATTGATGATTGGAAAGGCAAGATGTGAAATATCACTAAGCACTACATAACTCTCCCCGCAGAGCGTGAACTGGTAAGGAAACGCTGGATATAGCTATTTAAGACACAAACTCAGCTAGTTTGGAGGGGAAAAAATACAGAACATCCTGAACGTATGTGATTGGCATCGTTCATTGACAGAGCGCATGAACCTTCTGGAGTATTGGAGTCGGTCGGTTGACCAACAGGGGGTAATAAATTGGGATCGGTCAAAGTAACGATGGGCGCAACATAAACGGGTTTAAGACGGTCAATACTCACAGATTCTTCCGATCCATTCCTTTCCTGGATGAAGTACTTAGGCTTCCGTGACAACACTTTGAAAACACCTTCATAAGGGCTTGCGAACTGCGTCAATGCGAATTAAAACAAAAGGACAAATGTGTAATTCCGGATAAATTTGTTGTTTGTGGGCAGCGAAGCGAGTAGACGTAGGTCGAGTTGTTTGAAAATGTTATTTAAGACATTCGGTCTAGGACACAGGATCTGGTTCATCAGTGATTCGGGAATCCAAAAGCATCTCAGCAGGGCTGCATCCAATATCCTCTATGACGGTATTACGAATACCAAGAAGGACGGACGGAATGCATTCAGACCAATGTGGGTCAGGTGAATTAGCGTTAATGGCGGCTTTAAACTGTCGATGCAAACGCTCGACAAGACCATTCGAAGCGGAATGATAAGCAGTTGTCCGACTGTGTTTACAACCCAACAGACGAGTCAAGTCACGGAACAAGGTGGAACTAAACTGAGATCCTCGAACTGTAGTGCTCGTAGATGGCACACCGAAGAAGGAAATACACGAGTCGAAAAGGCACGAGCAACAGTTTCTGTAGATGTGTCACGTAAAGGAATGGTATGCGGCCAACGAGTAAAACGGTCAACACAGGTTAGAATGAAAGTGAAATTATTCGATGGAGGAAGCGGTCCGACCAGGTCTAGGTGGACATGTCTAAAACGCGCTTCAGGTAGTGAGAATGTTCCGGGGGCAGAGATAGTGTGTCTGTGTACTTTGCTGCTCTGGCAGCTGAGACATTACTTAGCCCATTGACCGATATCGGAGCGCATACTAGGCCAGATGTAATGATCAGTAATCGACTTCACAGTGGATCGAATGCTAGGATGCGATACTCCATGAAAATGGTCAAAGACGGTTCGCTGGAAAGACTGGGGAACAAGCGGCCTTGGCTTACCGGTAGAGACATCGTAGTGAATCCTTGCGTCTGAGGTTCACACGCTAATTGCAGGAATTTCAACCTAGTATTCGATTGCAGTTGAGCGAGTTCACGATTGTTGTTCTGGACAACGGACATTTCCTCAAGATCTATTGGAGAGGACGAAAATTGATGAATGTGAGTACGTGAAAGTGTATTAGCGACATGGTTGTTTGGAATGTCGAGGTAGCGGATATCAACACAGAATTATGAGAGGTAATCCAGGTGTCGTGTCTCTATCGGAGAATAGTGGTCGGAAGCGGCACGAAAAGCGTAGACCAGAAGCTTGTGGTCCGTCAGGATTACAAATATTGTCCTTCAAGGACATGACGAAAGTGTTTGACGGCCAAGTAGATCGCGAAAATTTCGCGACCAAAAGTGCTATAACTTGTTTATGCTGGTTGTAGCTTCCGAGAAAAGAAAGACAGCGACTGAATCTCATTGCCGATCAGTTATTGTAGTACTGCACGGACAGCGAATTGTGAGGCGTCAGTCTTGTGAAGGAGAGTATCTTTCTCGTCGATATCCAAGTAGGTCAGGGCAATTACCTAGCTTAACTTCTGCTTGATGGAAACAAACGCTGTTTCGGTTTCTAGTGTAATGGTGAACTCCTTTGGGTAACCCTTAAGTAAATCAGTCAAAGGCTGAAGAACGGCGGCACAATTGTCAATGAATCTTCCGTAATAATTAACCATGCGAAGGAATCGGCGCAGATTTTTAACGGATTGGAGTAGTGGATAGTCCATGATTGCCTGAGTTTTCTCAGGGATGGGACTAATGCCTTTGCTATCAATTTTGTGACCAAGAAAATCGACCCTAGATTGACCAATTATACGTTTGTCAGGATTAGTGGTTATCCTGTGATGATCGAAACGTTCGAATACTTGTCGAAGGTGATCCAACTGCTCTTCTGGCATGGCACTGGATATTAGCATCTTGTCGATGTAGACTAAAACAAAGTCTAGGCCACGGAGGACCTGGTCCATGAAGCGCTGAAAAGACTGCGGCATTGCGAAGGCCAGAACGTATACGAATGAACTCGTACAAATCGAAAGGTGTGATAACGGACGTTTTAGCAATGTCTTCAGGTGCCATTGGCATCTGATGGTACGCACGAATAAAGTCAAGCTTGGTAAAGACGGATTTCCCCGGGCAATCCCAATGAAAACTCATGAGTATGAAAGATGGGGTATCTGTCGGGGATGGCAACCGCGTTGAGTACCCAGTAACCACCGCATGGAGGCCAATCACCGGACTTTTTGGATACAAGATAAAGCGGGGAAGCCCAACAGCTGTTGGATGGGCGGATGAGGCCGACGTTTATCATATGCTCGTATTCACATTTAGCCGCTTGGAGCTTGTCAGATGGAAGACGTCTCGGTTTGACTGACACTGCTGGACCCGTTGGGACGATATGATGACGAAGGTCGTGTTTAGACTCTGTAGAGTCGGTATTACTACGGACCAAAGACGGGACTGTTGTAACGCTTCTTCCTTCCCTCTGCTCTCTGTCACTGACGACTGTTGTACTGTTGCTAGCTGCTTTATGAGACTGCGACTGTCTGACTTCTCAGTCACACGCCAACCCAACCGGCGGAATACAGAAGACCAAGGATCGGTAAACAGGGAGTCTATCTACACCATAAGTTAACTGTATTTATAGGTAGCCGAAACATGCTAATTTAAGAGGTCAGAATCGCTCATTTTTGTGCGTCCGGTTTTCAGTCAGTATGAGTGAGTTCCACTCCACGGGTTTATCATATTGACGGTATAGTTTGATTCGTTTTACGCGGACTGGTAATTGCTGGCCGATCAATTGTCAGTCGATACCCACCTTTGCTCCGCTTACATCTCTATAACCTCCTCCTTCAATTTGATTGCTCCTACCTATTTTCCGCACTTGGGCTTGGTCGTAGCTTTTTACCCTGGGGTCCACTTGTAGCCATCGCGGTTGCCTTTTTCTTCGATTTGGCCTGCATGTCACGTCGTGTGTTGTCTGTGCGACCGGCTGTGTCCCGCTTTGGGGATCAGTTCTGTTT